GAGAGAGAGAGAGAGTAGGTGTATTATTTCCATTCTACCATCCCTTCTGCAAGGTATTCTTTCTCTCTTTAACACTCGCATTTCAATCTTGTTCTTCCCTGTATGTTGGCATATGCATTTCTCAGGTTAATACCAATCATCCTTTTTTTCTTGGAAATGATTTTATTCACGGTTTGGTTGAGAAATTGCGATTTTTTTATTCATGGGTTGTTTTCTTATTTACGGTTTTCAAATGTGGTGTATTTGAGGCCTTTAATGTTGTAGCTACTGCAGCTGATCTTGTTCATGTTCTCTATTATTGCCTCTGCTTTCTGTTTTGTCTCTTTACTTGCGTTTTTTATTTTGAGAGTGGTGGGCTTATTTACTTTACGTCTTCGTTTTTTACATCTGATCTGTTTGCCATCAAGCATCTTCTTCTTTGGGAACTGGTTGTGTATGTGGTCTTGTGGAGAAATATTGTATGATGTTTTCTTATTAAGGGTTTTAACTTTGGGACTGTAAGAAGCTTTTGAGGGCTATTCTGCCTTTGATCTAGCTCATCTTCTTATTCATTATCTGTGTTTTCTGATTTGTAGCTCATATGTTGATTCATTGCATGTTTTTTCTGATTTGCTTTGTTAATTGAGTCTTGTCCCAAAAGTGGTGGGTTTCATAATTTTTTCTGTATTGATCTATAGGGGGCTTCATCCTAGGGCTTAGTAAAGCTGGATGGGTGCCTGATTCCCTCTTATGTGTATTGCTTGCAGCCGGTGACTTCACTCTGTGGTGTGGTTGTTAACATTAAACATTCTCTAGTTTGAGATCCTATTAAACTGACTGTCATATCACCCATCACGAGAGAAAGACATGTTTTCATATCTATGGGTGTGTGATGTATTTCGGTGTTTTGGTCTTGTGTTGATCTGTTTGTGTAAAACCCATGTGACATTTATGTGAAATGAAGAAAATAAATGATACTTTGATATTCTTTAGCTTATGTAGGATTGTAGTAAGATATTGAAGAGCTGGCAACATATTTGTTGGAGATGTGGTAATGTGTGTTGTCTGTTCACCCTTGCTTTTGGTTGATGTCCGGTCTCTCCTTTACCTTTTTTTCTTGCCCTTTACTTTGTACAGTTTTAGCATATTCAACGCATTGAGTTTCCTTAAGCTCTATATGACAATTTTTTTCCTCCATGTGAATCATAATCATTTGTGCAAGGGTTTATTACTGCAAAATTTAAGTGTATTCAGTGAGTTGAGTAGGCTTGAGCTCTAAATGGACTAACTTTTTTACTCTTATGTGAATCACAATTATTTGCACGATTCTTACTGTAGAGGTAGATTATGTTGAAACTATAATGCAACGCTGTCTAATTTCATTTGCAATATTAAGGGTTCGGGTTTTATGTTCCTTTGTTTCTTTGCATTTCAAGATGATTGTGTAATTGCATCATGTACTATACCTTGTTATTTTGCTCGAGCAATCTTAGTTTTGGTTTCTAACTTTATCATTTTTCTTTGCAAGAAAACAACCTACTATTTTTTGATTTCTTACCATTGTATTCTCTGGCTGGTGATAACTGAAACCATTCATAATTTTTAAGAAAAGGTCTAAATGGAGGACCGACTGCAGTATCCCTCTGTCATTCACAAAATATCGAGCCAGGTCCAACTCGGTCCAACTTTTTCTCAAAGCTTTGTGGCCCGAAACACTAACATTTACCGACCTCAATATCAGAGGCACCATGTTGGTATACCCAACTCCTTATATCAAGCTTCCCACATTGGCCACACTCTCTCAGTGGCCACCCATGTCTCACCTGTCTTGTTTCAAGCTCCCTCTGAGAAAGGTGTGAGTGGATTCAATATTGATTTCTTCATGGGTGGAGTCTCTGCTGCTGTATCGAAAACAGCCGCTGCTCCCATTGAGCGTGTGAAGCTCTTAATCCAAAACTCGGATGAGATGATAAAGGCTGGTAGGCTCTTAAAGCCCTACAAGGGAATTGGGAACTGTTTTGGACGAACGATCAAGGATGAGGGTTTTGTTGCCTTGTGGAGAGGGAACACTGCTAATGTCATCCGTTACTTCCCTACCCAGGTGTGCTTCTTCTCTATCATTGGTTTTTGGTTGTTCGTGTCTTTTTAGGTCCTGTTCTGAGTCCAGCTCCATACTTCCATAGTTTCTTTGATTTTTTTTGCCTATCCCATCTTTGGTAGATTTATAATATAATTCAATGGACTTTGGAATAATCATGATACAATGGTTACCATTTCAATTGAAATGATGTATGGTGATGTTGAGTGGGGCCACCAGGATTGGTGGTCCCACTCTCTCTCACCACTGGCCATGATTTCAATAGACAGCGATGAGCCAGTGAATTTGTTTCCCATTGTCATTCAATTGGAGCACAAATACCTGGTATTGATCCCACACCTTAACTGTTGGCTGATTGGTTTCTGAATTCAAACTGAATGTGTCTTAATTCCATTATGATCTGTGTTTCAACAAACAGGCTTTGAACTTTGCCTTCAAGGATTACTTCAAGAGACTTTTCAACTTTAAGAAAGACAAAGATGGTTATTGGAAATGGTTTGCTGGCAACTTGGCTTCTGGTGGAGTTGCAGGTGCATCGTCCCTCCTCTTTGTATACTCCTTGGACTATGCTCGAACTCGTTTGGCCAATGATGCAGAGGCTTCAAAGAAGGGTGGAGAGAGGCAATTCAATGGTCTGATCGACGTGTACAAGAAGACCCTTAATTGGATGGCACTGCTGGTCTCCACCGTGGTTTCAATATCTCGTGTTGGGATCATTGTATATCGTGGTCTCTACTTTGGGATGTATGATTCCCTCAAGCCAGTCGTCCTTGTTGGGGATTTGCTGGTCAGTCACTATATTTGTCTCTAGGCTAGAGTGCACTTTTGTTCTTTATATACATGTTTAGAGGAAAACTACCCCAATATATTTGTTCTTTATATACATGTTGATAGTCTTTTCACTGCTGTTTACTAGTGGTTGTGAATGGGTAAACTGTTTTCCAGGTTATTTCATAAACCAATATATTTATGTCTCTAGGATTGTAAACCCAATTTGATCAGTGTACCTGCAAATTCTGCCACAACCTTTCCTTCTCCCTCTCTTGACACCTGCAATCTCTCTCCCCCCTCCCCCCACAAACCCACATGGTTTGTGATCTTCAAAGTTTGCAACCACTGGCATTGCATCCCCATATTCCTCTGTCCACCTTCCATTCTCAGCCTCTCTCTCTCTCTCTCTCTCTCTCTCTCTCTTCTTCTCTTCTACTACTCTACTACTACGTACGTCGTACTCGTCTCTCGTCGTACGTGTTCGTGTACGTACGTACGTACGTACGTCTCGTTCGTCGTTCTCG